GGTGGCAATGGGAGGCACTGCAACTACTGGGCACTGTGGGGCTGCAGTGCTGGCTCTGTCCTTAGTGTATTTATCGGTATTGCAGCCAATGCCAATATATACAACTGACTTAAAAAGAAACACACAAAACGTGAAAACATTGTGGTTGACAGCACTGGCTTGGTTTGCCGTAGGAAACATTTTATTTATAGGCTCCTAGTTCTGCCCCTGCTCACCAAGCCTCAAGTGGCAAATTGCAGCTGTGCAGGTGAAGGACAGTCACAGTCTCATCAGAGACGGTTTTTCACCTTGGCTAGGGACAGACATTACACGTAAACCAGCTTAAGTGATCAGAAACTGGTTTAACCCTCTAACAGAACAGATGTTCAGTGCACATAAACCAGTTTGAAAATAGCTGAAACTGATTTGAAATAAATCTGGTTGAATGTAGTATCAGACTTAACAGATTTAGCTCAAACTGGTTTATGCAATGTCTGTTCCAGACCCCTTGCTGGGACAGACATTGCAAGACTTCCCCAGCATTCCAGAATGCTCTCTGGGTGGGGCAGGGCTCTCTGCTCCACAGCAGAGCTGGTCCCTACCCTCTGCTCCCTAGTTGGAGCTCCAGCAGAGGTTGCAGGTACAGCAGGGTCTGCCTGGCTTCCCCCTGCCCTACCTCCCCCCTCACTGCTCAAGTAGGAATTTCCTTCTCCCTTCCTCCCATCTCCCACAGCACAGATCCCAGCCTCAAGGACCCTAGGCATATAGTATGCTGGTTAATGCTGAGAGTTGTCTGAGTGTGTGCATGTCCAATTTCACTGGGACAGGCAGATAGAACAGTGACCACTTACCAGCTTTTGGAGCTAATCAACAGGTCAGCTGCTAAGCTGTTTAAAAAGAGTTTGAACTAATGGAGAGAGGCTGTTGTTTTGCTGACGGGGTGATAAACACTATTATCAGCTCCCTGTTGGCTTACACACCTGTTAGTTTGCTTCAGACCATATAAACAAGCAGAGATGGAGATTGAAAAGCTCTGTATCAACAGATGCATGCATTGCATACCCCCTCTTGCCTCAGAGTGCTAGCAGGCGGCTGGGGTCTGGCAACACCCCACCCCTTGAGCAACCAGCAGGGAAAAGCCTGGGATGCTGCAGGTGGAGTTTCCTAATCAGAACATCCTGCTGAAGCCTGGCCATGCCCACCCTCAGCTCAGCACTATGGAAGGGAGAGGAGGGCTGCTCAAGCACCCCCTGGCTTCTAGCCTGATCCACTGCAGGCATGTGCCTGAATTTCCTCAGTCCGGAGAGAATGTCTGTCTGGTTACAAACCTGTTCAGCCTAGCCAGATTAAACTAACCTGTAAAGATTGAATCGATTCTGGCTCAGGCTTTTTGAAAGTCTGTCCCTAGCCCTCAAGTTGTGGCTGCTTCACTAAGCTGAACAGCACTGAGCTGATAAACATTTGTTCAGTAAAGTGCAACAAGACTCTTGTACTCAGACTTTTTTTAGTTACCACTGTAAATTCTGTTTGCTTTAAGTGATGGTTTTTATTCCTTGTTTACTGTCTTCCCTGCTGCATCCTAGAACTTGCAGTCCTGCAGTTCAAAGCAAGGTAAAGCTCCAGGTTAACTCAGTGGGAGTTTCAGATCCTTACTGCACAATAATTCATTGTCTTTAAGACTAGTCTTTTCCTTCCCATTCACCCATTCGTACAAAACAGAATATATTTTTGTTTCAAAATTTTTTTCAAATATGAGGGCAAACACTGAGGCAAAACTCCAATTATTCAGATGTATATTAAAGCAATATAAATAGTTTGGCACTATGTCTCAAAATTGCAAATCCATAATTGCAAATCCATAATAAATGTTGCAAAAAATATGACAATACTAATACAGTCCATGACATCCCACCTCTCCAGTTTTACTATTATCTTTTGGTATAGCACAGAAGATAGATCTAGACTCTAAGTAGGTAAAAGCTTATAATTACTGTTAGTTAGAGGTAACATTGGAAATGGCTAAAAGTTATGTTTAAAAACATGGTCATAATTCCTAGCTTAATTTTTGGGATGAGTTTAGAACCTCAGTTCAGTTTCGATATTCATTTGGTTCATTTATAGAGAGCATAATGTCAGTATTCTACTGCGTCAAGTAAAAATATATCCTGAATATTACTGGTACTTAGTATACTAAGATAAAATAATTAGGGCAGAAGTACTTCTAGGCTCAAAACGAAAGTCACATTTTGCCCAGGAGAGAGTTGTTTTTTTTTGTCCTGGGCATACAAGGCCATTGTCTCAGTTTAAGTACCTGTGAAATATGCAAGGTAAAATGTGAGCATACTTTTTCCAGGGACTATCATGGCTCATTTGGGTAAATTGTCATTCATTCCAGGGGCAAGCTACATGCTGAAAGGGCTATGCTGCTCTTCTTTTGTCCCAGGTCTTGACTGGGATCAGTCAGAAACACCTCAAATGCAATATCAGTTTTTAGCCTAAACTATAAACTCTGCTCCTGCAGCAGTGAATGCTAAGTGAATTTTTCCATTACTTTCAGTAAAATTAGGATTAAAGATTTTTATTGACTGTAAAATAAAGGCCTGAAAATATTCTTAGAGGCTGAATTATGTCAGATAAATAATATCAGTAGTATTTGTTTGTTTGCTTTCCTAATACCTCCCTCCTGCATTGATACTTTACCTATGCGACTCTATCAATTTAGAAATATTTTGAGAAAATTATCATATTTATTAATAGGGAATTAGCTTATTGTCATTTGACTGAGGCATTTTCATTGACAATTGAATGCAACTAAACACCTTTTTTTAGTAATTCATTTTGAAAATCTTTTGACCTTAACTAGGATGAATGTAGACTGTAAAAATCATCACAGATTCCCTTCCTTGAACTTTTCACAATGCTGAAAAATGACTGAGGAAAAGAAGCAAGATCCAGTTACTGTACTCTGTTTGTACAGCTGTACTTCATTGAGTGAAGGCTTGTGTTACACACAGTTTGTGATAGGAAGTAAATGCTTTTAAAACAACTAAGGAGACAGGTCTTTAACCTCCACCTTTTTAGATGCTTTGTTCACTCATTTAGCTTCTGTTGAGGTCTTGGGAAGCATTTCAAATACAAATCATTACCCAGTATTGAAGCTCACCTGAATAATTCATCTCCTACTAAGCTCAGTAGGCTAGTCCTTTTTTTCTGAGGTTTGCTAATTCTAGGTATAGAATATGCCTGTTACTTTAGGAAAGGAATTCAGGGAAGAAAAGCTTCACAAACTGAGTGTTAAGCATGGCTTGATTTTTTTTTTTTGATAGGTATCTTAAATTATAGTTTTAAGAGCTATTGTAAGGATTTTCAAAGGCTTAGAGGACATGCAGAAATGATGAAGTTGCCTCATAAATTACTAGACTGTCACAATTCATTAGTTACAGAAATTCTAATTTCTAGCATACAAGACAGTTAGCTATTTCTCTAGTCCCTTAAATGATGAAGACACCTTGAGATTCATTAAAGTATTTTATTTGGCATCAGTTTACTTTACAAGTATGTGTTAATCATCAGTCTTAAGCTAGTTGACATTATTTTGGCACAAGATAATATCAAGGCTTTGAATATACATTTGTAACATGACTGTTGTGAAAGGGGTCCTAATATCTGCCAAGGGCAGTTTCCTAATTGTTCTAGTGAAACATATCACTCTCTAGTGGGGAGAGGTCCACTGGCTGTCAGCCAATCAGCTCTTTGTTTCAATATCAGCTGAGACTGTATGTAAATTTCACCCCTTGCAACATATATGACCTTCAATTTACTCGCAAGCTTAGAAGGCTCCCTGTGGGACTCCATTGGCCACCCACCTTCTTATTGTGGTATAATTAAGAACTTCCTCAAAGCCCCTAGCTATATCTCATGGCCATGACAAAATTTAGCTTCCTTTTTTTTTTTGATAACTTCCCACTCAAGGTTATCTTTAGATTTTCAAAATTCATAGCAATACGACCACCCAGTGTTGTATTTAAAGAAAAAGTGCCCTGGAATTCACTTGGGGTAGTGAGAGAGAATTCAGAAAAACACCTCCCTAAGTAAGCAGCAAGCCATAAGTGTCATCTCATTGTGGCATCTGACCTACAGAAGCTTCCTACCTACCCCACAGTCTTTTCAATACCATAATTTAGTACCCCAACCTCTATTCTTTGGCTAGACCAAAAGGTCCCAGGCAAAATAATGATGTGTTTTTCCATTCAGTATTAGTACACAGACAATGGTTGTGTCATACACTTTACATTTCCATGTGAGCCCAAAAGATCTTGTGCATAAATAATCATCAACAACTCTGTTGTAACTTTTAAGAATAAAATAGGTATGAGTACACTTCTGACTTCAGGTTTCCTGACCATTCATTTCACACCTTATTGCAACTTTCCACTGTTGGCTTTATTCCCTTCTACAGACTTCCCCTACAACTTCCTCAGTGTATAGATTTCTCTCACTTATGTCCTCTTCCACCTGTTTAATCTGGATTGCATAAATTCAACCTTGAAGGTTCATGTTTAGGACATGCCATATTATAGTACAATAGCAAAATGTAATTTTGATTGCTTTTAGCTATATATATATATATTTAGTTGCACACGTCACACACCTTTCCCCCCTAAATTAGGTAGTCCAAATTGGGGTGTGTATTTTAAGCAAGGAAGCTGATTTCCATGTTGGAGGCCTAGGGATACTATAATGGATGCTGGGGGCTGTGCTGTCTTCACTTCTCTTCCTAGGCCAAATGGAGGAGTGGAGTCTGCTGCTCAGATCTCTTACTTTCTCCATGCAAACTGTGCAGCTCAAGCATAACTCCATCATAGCTTCTGCTGTTTTGTCAGTTTGCTCAGAGAGAGTAGCAGTGAAAAATAGACTCTGGCCACAGACAGACAAAAATGTAGTTTATATATGTCATGAGGAAAAAAATTGTTGTTTTTTTCTCTTCTGTGCCTTAAAAGAAATTATGCATTTTTTTCCAGAGGTGAATATATTATGGGCAACACACCAAACACATCATAGTTCTGAAGATTACAACTTATCCACAGCACTGAGACAATCTGCAGTGCAGAAATATATTTCTTGGGTAAGTCATGCAAAACTTAATACATGTAATAGTATAATTAAATCTATTGCTAACTGTTTTCATTCCAAGTTGAAATAAATATTGACATTTTGAAATTTATTTCAGAATAGAATTTTCAAATTCAATTCAGAAACATCAAAAGATTTCATTTAGAAAATGTTCATTCATTTTTAAAGATTTATCATTTGTTAGAGTTGAAATATTTCGTTACATTGGATGTATAATCAGGTACCTATAAGATAATATCAAAATGAATAATGTAACAAAATGAAATTAAATGAAATTAACTTAAATATATTACTTATCAAAACAGTAGGGTAGGAGTGTTGCTGTTATGAAAGGAAACATTTTCATATCATTAAACTGAAATGAGAAAGTGGTAATGATTCATTTGATGCTTTCCCTTTGAAATTTGTGTTGAAACACATTTCTACAAAAAGTTTTGCACTTGGCCATACCAGTGGAAGAGAGTTCCATGGAAAATTTTGAGTACTTGGTGGCTGCACATATGCTATATTTACTGGAATCCCCCCTTCCCACCAACATTAGGGGGAAAGCCCTTCATCTTGTATTTGTATACAAGATGAAGGAGGGCAGGCAGGTGCTACACCTCTGCCTCTGGTTCTGGCAAGGGCTTGAGGTTGAAGCTGCAGCTGTAGTGAGGGCTATTGCTGGGGGCAGTGAATTGGGGTGACTGATCTGGGCCCCATGCTTGTGGGGGGGGCACAGAGCCGGGTGGAGCAGCTGTGGCAACTCTGCATTGCTGCCAGCTTCATGTCTGGCCACTCGGCACCCCCCACTCACCGCTGCAAGCTGCCTCATGTCCAGGGGCAGGGCCCTGCACAGGCTGATTTGCCCCAGGCCCCGCACCCTGCTTGGGTTATCTCTGGCTGTTGTCCCCAGTACATCCTCCATCCCACACCGCCCTCCTGCCACATCTGTCCCCCATGCTGCTGCCTGCTCCCTGCCACATCTGCACCCAGCCTGCAGTTGCCACTTACTCTTAGTTGGAGCTCTCATCCCTGTCCAGCCTGGTAGCAGTGGTGGTGCTGGCAACTGCTCTGGTCCCAGTTCTGCTCCAGCTGTGAGCTGGTCCTGGTCCCATGGCTGAAGCTGCTGCTGCTGTAACTCCAGCTGTGTAGCCAGGTGGGGGCCAAAGCCAGCATGTGCTCTGTGCCCAGGACTGGAGCTGGAGCCACAACTGAGGGTAAGCAATGGCTGGAGGAAAGAGTGGGGAACCAAAGCGGGCAAGTGGGGGGGGGAACAAGTGAGGGTGTCAGACTTCCTGACTCCCTTACAGCTTACCCCCCTACCATAGCTTGCCTCCATGCTGTTGGAGCTTTTCCTGCTGGAGTGGTGGAAGAGATGAATTTTAAGACAATCCTCCAATAGTTAGGTTCTATACTTGGAAAATTATAACATTTATAATTTTTCTATGTGTAAGATCTAAATATTGTGGGGTCATTTTAAATTCAAAATCATCTTGGATTTGGGTAAATGTAGTATCATATGTTTGATCCAGTTTTACTGAATAAGTACAATCAGGGCTCTATCTGAAAAGCAGTGTAGCCTGACAGTTGCAGAGGGAGCTACATATTGAGGGGCAAATAGAAAATGGGCCAAGAATAGAAAGAAAAATAAAATGCCAAATGCAACTGAGTTAAAAGATACAATTTGATGATAGCCACATTCCTTGATATTTCTCTTTCAAAATCCAGTCAAACTTGCTTTTAATATTATATATCAGACTATATAATATAAAATATATATTTTTAATATTAAAAAAAGTCCAATGTTTTCCTGAAATATGACTGAGCAGGTAGATCCAGATTCATAGAATGGGATGACTGATCTCCATATCAGGACATTTGTTTGTTAATATGCTCTGTTTCTCTGTTTTCACTCCCAAAACCAGTTGCAATATCATGGGGCATTTTACATGATGTCTTCATAGGCTTTTTGTTCCCATGGTCCCTTTTTTTTCTTCTGGATACCACATGAACCATACAATAGGAAGGGGCCCTCCCGTCCAGTCTGATGCTTCACAAAGGCAAGCCTATTTTCTAAGGAAGTTGATTATCAAGCATCCTAGCTCTAGGGCCAGATCATCTTAATCATTCTTTTGCAATCATACCATCAATATGTAGCATATAAATTTGCCAAAGGAATTCATAGCTAAAATACTGTGTCTAGTTCTGGGCTCCACATTTCAGAAAGGAAGTGGAGAAGCTTGAGAGAGTTCAGAGGAGAGCCATGGACATGATTAGAGGACAAAAGAGCAGGCTGTATGAGGAGAGGCTGAGACATGGAACTCTTTAGCCTGGAAAAGTGTAGGTTCAGAGGGGACTTGGTGACAGCCTATAAGTATTTAAAGGGTGTGCACCAGGAACTCGGAGAATGTCTGTTCACCAGGGCACCCCATGGGAAGACTAGGTCAAATAGTCACAAACTCTTGGAAGACTGTTTTAGGCTAGACATAAGGAAAAACTTCTTTACTGTCCGAGTCCCCAGGGGCTGGAATAGATTCCCCCAAAGGTGGTGCAGGCATCTACTCTGGATTCCTTTAAGAAACACTTGGATGCTTATCTTGCTGGGATCATTCGACCCCTGCTAACTGCCTGCCCTTTGGGCAGGGGGCTATACCCGATGATCTTGCAAGGTCCTGCCGGCCCTAATTCATAGATTTCATAGACATTTGGGCTGGAAGGGACCCTGGAGGATCGTTGAGTCCAGCCCCCTGCCCGGGGCAGGAAGTCAGTAGAGCTCATAGGATCCCAGCAAGATAAACATCCAAAAGTGTCTTGAAGGCGTTCAAAGTGGGTGCTTGAACCACCTCTGGTGGCAGTCTATTCCAAACCATGGGGACTCAGACAGTAAAGAAGTTCTTCCTTATATCCAGCCTGAAATGGTCACAGAGGAGTTTCTGACCTTTCGATCTTGTCATCCCTTGGGGCACTTTGGTGAGCAGACATTCCCCCAGATCCTGGTTAACACCCCAATAAACTTATAGGTGGTCACCGGAT